CATTGTTTCAGCTTTTCGTTAAAATCTCTCCATTTTGAGGGGATTTTGCTTTCCTTGACACTTCACCATTTTACTTGCCATGTCACCATCTTTGTTTGTGTACCAAACAAAATAAAATGGGGAATTCAATTGAAAGTTGACACAATCTAACACTTTCACTTGCTTTCCTTCAAAAAATTGGCAACCAAACAGCCCTTAAAAGCAGGACAACATACATTTAGCTGGAAAAAAGCATAACTTTAGGATATTAAATGGATGCAATAACGGGGCCCATGGTGAATTGGTAAGGAGTGTTGTTGTGGGCTTTACAGGTGGGTGCATTCATAGTCGGCTACAAGAGTTGAAAAGAGATGTCACAGGTGGACATTAAAGTGAGGCGGTCGGTTCGATCCTAATTGACTCATAAACTCTGCATCCGACCTGAATTGAAAGCGATATAAAAATCAAATCAAACCATAATAAATAAGATAGTTCGGTCGGTTCAATCGGTCCGCATCATATTTCCTCAATCCTACACCTCAGCTCTTCTTATAATTTTGTTCATATTCCTGTGTTTCTTTCAAGTTTTTTTTTCAAAAAGCGACTACTTAAAACATCAACCCATATCACGAAAATAAAAAACTCATTTCTGACTAATTTGCTTGGAAAGGAACTGGAAAACAAATAAATAAGATGAAAAAATTGAGAGCGAGTGAGGTGGCTTTTTGGAACCATCCAAACTATTTTTTATAAATTTAGTTTTCTATTTTTTTACTCACAAACCAAGCATAGAATCTCGCAGAAAACACAAAATTGATTTTTTTTCCTCTAGAAATTAAATTTTCTAATAATTAGGGATTTAATCCAAAACAGCCCCTTACTCGAGAGACTAATTTCAAAGCAACATAAGAATTAGAATATCTAGTAGCAATTTCAGTGATTTACCATACTAACTTCATAATAGCTTAAGACTTGGGGGACATAGTAGTAATTTTAAGACCTTATCTGGTAAAGAGTTAAAAGGGTTTAACCCTTCACTAACCTGCCAAATAATAATTTTTGATTGAAGGTTTTAGTACCCCTAGTTAACGGGTTAAGAACATTTAACCTGTCAAAATGATGGGTTAATAATTCCACCACTTTAAGCGGGGTAAAGTTAACTCTTCTCGGTGGCGCGAGGGTAAATGATGTACTTCAGAAAGTTTGACATTTCTACGCTGGTGGAGCTAGAAGTTGGAACTAACTTTATTTTAATAAATAAGCCCACCATGGCTCTCCATAGCCGTGTATTCTAATATTTAATATTTAGTGGCTGCTTGAATATTTCAATATACATTCGCTAAGCTTGCAGTAGCTACTTCAATGTCGTAACACTTTTGTCCACACTGGCTAAGCGAAGTCCTGTGTTTTATTTTTTTAAATACTGATTCTTTAATGGTGTCACTATTTAAATATTAAGATTCCATTTGGCTCTGGCAAATATAGTTATTGCACAATTTGCATTACAAGTTTATAATGGAAGTATTGAAATTTTACCAAAACATTTTAGCTTTACAAATTATGAATATGCCGAATAGCTAATTTATTGTCTAATTGCGTGTTGGAAGGAGAGTCGAGAATATATATATTTTTCAATAGTTATTAGTAATTATTCATATTTTTTGATAAGATTAAAATTTATATTTTAATAAATTAATAATTTTAATCCTTTGTTAGTTGCCAATCATAAAAAAAAAATTTAATTCTTCATCTAAGCTATCAAATCTAACAAAATTTGATCATTTTTAATCCCTCATAAGATTAATTTAGTTCTTCTCCTTAACCATTCTATTTTAACCCTTGCCAAACGGCACCTTAAAACTAATTTCACTATATGAAAGATTTTAAGGGACTAACATCGAAAAAAAACCTCTTTTAATTGATTTCAAATGAGCCCTTAATATCAAAATACGATCAGTCAAACCATACGGATCAAAACTTAGACCCGACCCAATAAAGATGAAGTGGACAACCACATAATAAACCCCTCAGTCCGTCGATCAATTTAAAGCTCCGTGCGAAAATTGTAGAAAGGAGGGGGGAAACATCTCACTCTCTCTATTCATTTCTCAATCTCTTTATTTTCCAAACTTTGAATGATGCAAGTAATCCTATTTCTCAAAAAAAAATTCTGGATTTTTAGCTTCTTTTTTACCACAAATTTTGCCCAATTTTATTAAATCTTAAGCCTATAAAGACCTAATGTTAGCTTCAACGAGATAAATCTTTTTTGTTGCTATAATTTCTAAAGCTTTGTAATTTCTTAAATTCGAACTAGGAAATATAGAGTTGAATCAAGATGAGATTTTGTGCAAGTAGTCTACTGTGAAAAGGGCTTCTAGGGTTTTATGTTGATGATCAACAAAAACCTACAGATAGAATTAGGCTTATTTCAAGTTGTATAAGGAGAGTTTTGAGCCGTGATTCAAATCCTGATTTAACTTTGTTGATTAAATTTCTTTCAACACTTTGACGTTTACTTTGTGCCACGCTGCAGCATTAGTGAGTATATACTAGCTATATTGCTTATAATTTTTTTTGGCAAATATTGTAAGTATAGTATGATTAATTGTGTAAAGTACACTTTAGTTTTGCTAAAGGTATAATCAATGTTTTAGTTGCTATGTTTCATGTCGCTAGACAGTATTTTCCCAAAAGAATAAGTTTGTAGGTAGTTTTATGTAGAAAAGCGAAGTAAGTATATAGTTTTGAAGTGTTTGGAGTGAGGTTAGCTGCATTCAGTTAAGAATGATGCAGAATTGAATTTATGGAAATTGATTGTTTGCATTCCATTGCTTGCATTTCATAAGACCTTAAAACTAATGCATGTTTCAATAAGTGATGAATTATATTAAAGTTGCTCAGATAAGATGAAACCAGGTTATTTGGAATATTATTTGAAAAGAAGTAATTGATGGGTTAGGCCATTAGTATTAGGGGCGTACACTAGAACAAACACTAGACAAAGGACTTATTTGGAACTATAGAGGTTAGGTCCGTTAGGACGTGAAACTTTCTATTGATAAAATGTTTAAAAAAATTGAAGAGCAAAATTTTTGGAACAAAATATTAATTCTATCAAGAAAGTAGATCTCTGGAGAATATGAACTATAAATTTTCATTATTGTGGATTAGTAAGTTGGTCGAGTGAAGATGCACAAAAGTCGCAGACAAAGAAGAGGTAACATCTTACACTAGTAGAAAATCAGCTTGTACCTACGGAAAAATAGCGACGGAAAATTCCGTCGCTATATGATGATTTATAGCGACGGAAATTTCCGTCGCTATTTATCCGTCGCTAAAAGGGTTATAGCGACGGATTATTATATTTTAACGATGGAAATTTTTCGTCGCTAAAATATTTCCCGACAAAATTTTTTTTCGTCGCTAAATTATTTTTAGCGACGGAAATTCCGTCACTAAAGAATTTTTAGCGACGGAAATGCCGTCGCTAAAAACAATTTCGGGCAAAAAATTTGGGCGCGGGCGCCCAAATTTTTTGGGCACCCGCGCCCGAATTTAATGCCCTAACCTCAATTTTTCGTCGCTAAAATATTTCCCGACAAAATTTTTTTTCGTCGCTAAATTATTTTTAGCGACGGAAATTCCGTCACTAAAGAATTTTTAGCGACGGAAATGCCGTCGCTAAAAACAATTTCGGGCAAAAAATTTGGGCGCGGGCGCCCAAATTTTTTGGGCACCCGCGCCCGAATTTAATGCCCTAACCTCATGTATAGCATGAGTCCTATTTATAACAGAATAAAAATATACTTTGTAAAGATGAAAATTGAAAAGTTGTAGGATGTAGTAATATTTCTCTTAGGTGTCAAAATATTTGGAGACTTGAGGAGTAGGGTATGACAATCTTATTCGTAAGATTTGTTAATGGAGAGACACTTTTGTGTTTTTTGAAAGACTAAAAGATTTATTCAAAGTTGTAAATCTATCGGAGATTAGTATATAACCAAGTAATGGTTAGGAGTAATCATGAGGGAAAGTGAAGAGGATGTTTTACTTAGAACTAGGACAAACAAAATGTAGATTGTTTTTGGAATAATATGTGATCATCGAATAGCATTAAAGTTGAAAAAGAAAGTATAAGGTGCTTATATGACAAACAAAACTTTATTGTTCACTATGTTTGGCAATTAGAACCAAACACTTCTATAAAATAAGTGTAGTTGACATGAGAAGGTTGATGGATAAATTGAGAGCGTAGAGAGAAAGATAAGGAATAAATGTGTCCGTTAGATATTAGTGAAAGCTTTTCTTGAGTTTAGCATGATTACAAAATAAGGTAAATTCGATTGCATTGGTATGAATATGGTCGAGGTGGATAAATACACCAGTTGGGAGTAGATAATGGAGTGTCAAAGGAATATTGATGGACCACAATGATCATAGTCAGGTAATGAAAAGGAATTATCGTTGTAGCTTACCTAACAAGGCTTTTAATTAGTTTCTATGAGGAAAAACTATAGTTTTGATACAAAATATTGGGACAAAGGTTGTTCTATTATGTATAATAGTTCTACAAACTATTACTTGACAACAAATCCCTATAATGAAGATTTCAACTCATTGAGGGAGTAACTGAGCCAAGAAAAGGAACTATCATTTCGAAAATCATTTTGGTTGATGCAAAAGAGTACTTCTGAAATTATTTATTAAGAGTCTAAACCTGTTGATGTGATTAATTGATTAGAAAATGTTGCAGGATTATCCTAATGGAGATAGTGTGGTTTAAGAAAGAAACAAGTTTCATGTAGTTATATTAATGAAGACATGTATGATGGAGGATGAGGGCATGTGAACAGTTGGAGGAGAAGCGAGCTCCCTTCTTCAGCATCTTAGGCTTGCATCATTGTTTACATTAAGTTTAACTGTTACTCAGGGTTACCCACGCATGAGTTTACTAACCATATTCAGTTTGTGGTCGCCAACTCACTATCTCAGCATCCTTTTCCCCATTCAGCAATACTTGTAATGATTTGTCAACATAATTACTAGAGCATCCTTTCAAATCATCCACCTTCGACATGCAGTGTTGTAATTTATTATTATTTTAATTATTCTAGAGGATAACGGTCACACTCATGCTTTCTTTTTTATATTATATCTTCAAATTGAATCGTTTCCATTTTGGTTCTTATTGAAACTATTCATATTTGCCCAGGCCAGTGACAGGTTTAATATTAACTCCCAACTCGAGCATCTTCAAGCTAAATATGTTGGGACTGGGCATGCTGATATGAGTAGATTGTAAGTTGCCGGTGTTTGCTAATATGTTTCTTCCTAGTTTCCATTGTTTAAGAACATTTTTAGGTTTATTGATCTCTTGTAACTGCAGTGAGTGGGCAGTTAACATCCAACGTGATAGCTACGCATCTTATGTTGGCCACTACCCCCTTTTGGCTTACTTTGCTGTTGCTGAAAATGAATCAATTGGGAGAGAACGCTACAATTTTATGCAGGTACGACATAGATAGACATCTTGTGTAGTGCTTGGAATTTGCCATTTATATTTCCTAATTTCAAATTTTAAAAATCTGATCATCTTGCATCATGATAACCTTACATCACTTTGGACTGGAAATGACAGAATTAAGTATATTGTTTCGTATATTGGTTGCATTCTTTATATATAACCTAAGTGCAAACCATCTCCTCATAGCCTATACAGAAAGACACACAAAGTTGAGGAGTGTACTAGATGCAGTAACATCAGTAATTTTACCTCGCACAGCAGGGTTCACACTGAAATTGTCTGCTGGTGTAATGATTTCATCACAGATGAGTGGCTATCTAGTGTTTTTAGAGACATGCAAATAGACACAAATACCTATACTTTCAAGATGATATTTGTGTCCGCAAAGCTCTTTTCTGCTAAGGTGTCCAAGAAGAACATAGGGTACAATGGGAATTGGTAGCCTGAACAACCGGATTATCCACAATGTCTGATTCTTATGCTCTGTGTTTGTGATGGTTAAGTTAACATCTTGAATGTGGAGCATTAATTTTACTACATCAAAAGAAAATCAGCAAAAAGCTGAGTTAGCTAGAAGATGAGGTCTCACATATCATTAAAAAATAAACTCAAATTTCTTAGTCTTGTTGCATAGGTGAGGTGGACATTTTATGTTTATTTTTCATCCATGGGATGTTGATCTGGTCAAGGCATTCGGTACGACACATGTAGCGCAAGTGTTAAAACATACCAACGGCGAGAGGATAATTGGAAAGCATGTTGGTATATCCTTCAACTTCAACATTGAAAGCATGTTGGTGTATCATTCAACTCAACATTGAAGGTACCCTAGTTAGATGCATGGGTTTTTTCACTAGTAACTGGTAGGCTTCAGCTAAAATATTCGGTGGTTCTAACTTGTTCTTGACCATTTCTGCTTCAATTTTTTTAGATCCTTGTTTTCTCTTTATTTCAGGCATGCAACTAAGAATACTCATATATGATGTGTCATCAGTGTATATATGTACTAGCTTTAAGGATATTAACTGTATTTCATGTCACTGATTCCTACTGAAAGCTACGGGCCACATAGAGCAAGATAATATATATTTGTTATGCCCCTTTTTTTCCCTTTTGGCTAGTCTGATAAGCATCTTTTGGATGGACGGGAGCCTCACTTAGGTCAAACTCATAATTTCTAAGACTTCCAGTTCCATGTATATGAAGTGAATTCCTCTGTTAGGTTATAGTTTACTAGCAACTGTTATAGGCACATGCGTTTCAGGTATTCGAATGGAGACTTTAAATGCAGGCACGCAGCACCTTGGTAGCTAACAAATATATTTCGTTTTTCACCTAGGTAACTCTTGTAGAGAAAAGCATCTGCAATTAATGATTCCATTTGGTAATGTGGATACTTGACTGGGTAAATAAGTATAATTAACATACTTGGTGTGGCCATTTACTATTGTACAATAATCTATCAGACCCAAATTTCATGGTGTTAGATATCAACACCTGAAGGAAGTCGGGGGTCGGGTCGACGGGAGATGGGTTCGGTGTTGGGAGGAAGAAGAAGAAGAGGAAGTCGGGGGTCGGGTCGACGGGAGATGGGTTCGGTGTTGGGAGGAAGAAGAAGAAGAAGAAGAGGGTTTTCTTGGAGGCTGGTTTACACGAGAAAAGAGGGGAGGGGATGAGATGGGTTGTAGCCTTGTATATATATATATATAGGTTAGGTTAGGTTAGGGTTAGGTATTATATGTATATCTTTATAGTGGGAGTACGGGAGATAAAAGATTTGGCTGTGATTTTAAAAACTTTGGAGAGAGAAAAGATTTGATTATGGAAAAATTTGAGATTTGAAAGATAGGGAAGATTTTGTGCATAAAAAAAATATGATAGGATTTGATACGGAGAAGGTTGACAAAATATATGGAGAGAGAGAAAGTTTCGGAATTAAAAAGGAATGAGTTTACAAGTTGATTAGAAATTGATTTGGGAGGGATTAGGAAATAATTCAAATGAGAAAATAAGAGAGGGAAAAATTCGAAAATCTCACCTAATTATTCTGAAATATATTAATAATTAATCATCAACCAAAAATCTTTTTATTAATATTTATATACTACATCAATAATAACAATGTCATTAATAATATTAATCACCAAATGATTATATACAAAAATCACTAAACCGTAAATTAATATTTAGCGGAATTAAAATACAAGACTATATTTTTTATTATTTATTTATTTTGAAAACTCAGAAAATTCCAAAAATTAGGAAAAGTATTAATAAAATACAATATAATATTTTGAATACTAGAAAAATTTATTTAAATACGTATTAAAATTTACGGTTGTTACAGCCGGCCCCCCTCTCTCCCTATTTTGGATTTTTCTCTTCCCTCGTGCATCTTTTCTCCTTCAAACCTTCAAATTTGTCTTAGATCTACCTTTCCTCTTGATCTTAGACTGAAAAATCCCTCAAAATTTCCATATATAGAATTTCTCTCAGGCCCCTCGAGCACGTGGTTCGAACCTCCTTCAAGATCTGATTTTTGTTGGATCCTCGAGCTTTTCCTCAGGTAAATCCTCCATAATTTTGGCATATTTCGTGTTTAATTCAGTATATGAATTTGTGGGATTGCATATGAGGGTTAGGGTTTGTGATTTGACGCCTCGAGCTCATCTTTCAGGGGGTAAAATTTGGAGATCTGAGGGGTTTAATTATAATAAAGAGGGGATAAAATTTTAGGGTTAGAGTTTGTCACCCTAACTAAAATTTTTTCTGCATCTGATCCCCTGATTTACTTTGCAGATCATCATGTCGCATATCCCGAGAGGTCAATCCCCTACTGCGTCGGCTGATGGCGTGCTTTCCTCGTATGCTGGTGAGCTCTTTTTGGCGTATTTGTAGATTAATCTTTTTCCCCGTTTTGTTCTCCTTGGTGAGACAATTGGGAAGAGCCTTGATTCTCCTTGGTGAGGATCGACGCTTTAAAAGATAGGTTTTGCTTGGTCAAAACCATATCTCAAAATAAATAAAGGGGGCGATTTGAAGCTGCATCGTGCTTTATAAGGCAGGGATATATTGTTGACATACCCTATCTTATGAATGCACAATGTAGCCAAATCGTCTCACCCTTTATAAAACAGTGACTCTATCTTACCCATTTGTAAGATGAGTTCAACTTCCTTTTATAACTGAGACTAACAAACGCTTAATTGCTTGTTTCCAGTGGGATATCCTTCTGGAGCGTTCTCATCTCATGCAGTGTACGGGCGTCGTGACGAGTATTATTCGACCTCCGATGATTTTTCACCTATTCCACTTACTCCTCAGTTTGCTTCGGGCACGTCGACAGAGGTTGCCCAAGTGGTGAAGGAAGGTGGACATCGAGTTCTTCGACAGCTGATTATTGATGCGCCTTTCGTAAAGGATACCAGCTCTGTTCAGCCTCTCAGGAAGACCGACTTTTTGTTTGGTGACTCTGTTAGAGATCCTGATGCAGTGTTTATTGACGCCGAGCAGTGGCTTCATAAAAATGATGGTGGTTTTCTATATTTGCCTAAGATTCCTCGACACCGCTCATTGACTGAGCTCAGGCGTCAGGCCGTGACACGGGAGATGTCGTGGCGCTTGACGGAGGAGCACAAGAGTATTCACTGTGGCTATATTACTCATCAGGAAGCTCCTGGCTCGAGCAGGAGTCATATCATTGGATTGCGTCCTGGAGTATTAGGGCTGGATACACCGCCGCGTAACGAATTTCTTGCTTCTGCTTCCACCTTGAAGAATCGTCTCGCCGACTTAGGACGGGAGATGCCTGCGACGCGCCATAGATTCTATGGCTGGGTCCATTCTTTAGACAAGCTTTGGTAGGCTCGTATGACGAAGTACGTCTTAAGCCGATGGAGCAAGGAGTTGCACGCTTATGGTCTATATGCGGCTATTCGTTCCACCATGTATGGTCTACCCGTCAGCGCTAAACATTTCTTTGCTTTGTGCGAGCTCTATAACCCGGATTCGAACACTTTTCTGACTAGGCACAGAGAGTTGGGCTTGGCTCATCATGAGATGCACAAGATTTCTGGTTTGCCCATGGGTCAGATGCTATATCAGGAGTACTTTCCCTCCAACCATGAATTGAGTCAGCTGAAGGACCGCATGCCTGACCGCTATGAGACTTTATGGGATCTCACATGTCACTACCATATTGCTTTGGCACAGTCTGAGCCTTTAGTGAAGAGGACTAAGTCACGTGTGAGCCTGAAGCAGTTTGCGTGTTATTTGTTCAGAAATCTAGAGAGCAATTCTGGCGAGGCTATTTGTGAGCTGGCAACGCTTACTCCTTCAGATGTTAATGGTCTGCTGAAGAAGATTGACGCTCACTCCTATACCATTAGAAGTCCCGAGAGTGGCTTTCCTGCAAGGACCAAATTCAAATCATTCTTATGGCATGCGACCGCATCGATTCAGCCGATGACCCTTATCGTCGGTTACCTCGCTATCTGGTTAAAGAAATGCGTGGTCCCGTATCAGTCCAGTGATATTTTGCCATTGGAAATGCTCTACCCAGCGGTTTAGCTTGCCTACAAAAAGGAACTTTCGCTTCTTCCGGTGATGGTAACTAACATTCATCGAGGGCTTCGACAGATCTCTAGTGCTTTCACACAGAAAGAAGATGAACCGTCGGCTCGGATTCCTCTTACTAATGTGGAGCTCCCATACACTTATTTAATGGCTTGGTTCGTCCTTCATCGTCCTGATATGATGTCGGTATCTAGCACCGTAGACCGCTCTGTTCCCCTACTATAGTTGTTTGAGAATGGCAGGTGGGAGGGGCAAGGATTCCCTGAAGTCAGGAAGCAGCTACAGGTCCACAAGTGTTGGGTATTTTCCACTTGCTTCCCGCGGTTCTTGAGCCAATATGGCGAGTGTTTGACTGATGAGGAGAGGCCGAGGGGGACTCAAACTCATTTGGATGTCGGCTGCTTTAACTGG